CTTTACAGTACACTGTTTCTTTTTAAAATGTCCCGTCCGTCCACAATTATAACATCTCATACCTTTAGAACCCCCACGATCACCCTAACCTGATTGTAAAAGGGGTTTAACAGCAGCAGAAAAGGCAGTAGCCATGTATCCAGCCTTTTCCTCTGCTGTGCTCACTTTAAATCATATCTGAAGGTGGGGAGTAAGCAATGACTGAGCTATCATACAGATATCATATGGTGCTAAGATATATGCAGAAAAAATATGTGCAGTAATTGCCTGAGTATATGATGATTTTAACCCATAGGATGTTACCGGTTGACGCGCCTCCTTTATTGCCTTTAAATCCGATGCCTCCCACTCCTTTCCCCCCTGTGGAGTGTTAAACACCCGGAATGCCAAGGGACCCATAGCTGAAAATTCCCCCATAACAACTGATCATCTTTGATCATCCCACGCCAACCTTTAGCAGAGTTATTACCGTAATCCCCTACCCCGTGCCCAACACCCACCTCCCACTCCCCTTTCTTTACTAGTGGATTGTAGGAGGGTGGGGCAGAGGGTTTGGAGGTTTCTTTTGTCTCCAATACTTTAATTTCTTCAGCAGCTGTCGCAGCTGACCATCACTGAGGCTGGTTCGCATCTGCCGACGAGCCGAACTGTCTGAACCGTCTGAGTCTGAGTTGGGATCAGGAAGGGGAGGGTACAAGTCCGGTTCTGCCGCAGATTCTGGGTCTGGTTCCAGTTCTAATTCGGGGTCTTCTCTCTCTGGGTCGAAGGTGACCGTGTTTGCACTTTCTACTTGTACTTTCGGATGCTAGCGCCATTTCACTTTATCTTCCTCCTTATACCGAGGAGGCTTCTGCGGTGCTGTGCCAGGCACAACAGGGAGGGGAAGTACCATAGAGGTAGCACTCTTCTCTACCTCTGACTGACTTTGTGAAGGAGCAGCGGCCAGGAAAACAGATGCCACTGCTGCCTGTTCCGATTTCATTTCCTTTAAAGTCTCAATTATCAATCTCCATAACGAATACTTCAGGGCTTCCTTTGTCCCTTTACTAATCTCATCCCACAACGCCTGACCTATTCGTTCCCATTCAGAAACTGCAAAGGTTTCCTCTTTGACCTGCTGGTCATGCTCCTTTTGATGCAGCCCAGGATACAGTTGGCTTTCTGGGCTGCAGGTGCACACTGCTGGCTCATGTTCATTTTCTCATCAACCAGCACCTCCAAGTCCTTCTCCACAGGGCTGCTCTGAATCTCTTCTCTGCCCAGCCTGTAGCTCTGCCTGGGATTGCTCCGACCCAGGTGTAGGACCTTGCACTTGGCATGTTTAAACTTCATGAGGTTGGCATTAGCCCACCTCACAAGCGTGTCAAGGTCCCTCTGGATGGCATTCCTTCCCTCCAGCGTATCAACCGAACCACACAGCTTGGTGTCATTGGCAAACTTGCTGAGGGTGCACTCAATCCCACTGTCCATGTCACCGACAAAGATGTTGAACAGAACTGGTCCCAACACCGATCCCTGAGGGACACCACTCATTGCTGGTCTCCAGCTGGACATTGAGCCATTGACCACAACTCTTTGCATGTAGCCATCCAGCCAGTTCTTTATCCACCAAGTGGTTCATCTATCAAATTGTTGTCTCTCCAATTTAGAGACAAGGATGTCATGCAGGACAGTGTCCAAGGCTTTGCACAAGTCCAGGTAGATGACACTGACAGCTTTGCCCCTTTCCATCACTTCCGCAGCCCCATCATAGAAGGCCACCAAATTGGTCAGGCACGATTTCCCCTCAGTGAAGCCATCCTGGCTGTCACCAACCACCTTGTTATTTTTCATGTGACTTAGCATGCTTTCCAGGAGAATCTGCTCCATGATTTTGCCAGGCACAGAGGTGAGACTGACTGTTCTGTAATTCCCCGGGGTCATCCATTTTCCCCTTCTTGAAAATGGGGGTTATATTGCCCTTTTTCCAGTTGTCAGAAATGTTGCGTTAAAAGGCAAGACAATTTGGCAGAAAGTAACTCCCCTTGCATTCCAGCTGGTCCTCAGATATTAGAAGGGCTGGGTGCGGCTAGGCTTAGATTCCAAATGATGCCCAATTTACCACTATCAGTCTGGTCACATTTGATACACTGAACATTCTTAATTCCAGATGCACTAATAGCACACTGCACCTTCAGTATAATCATGCTCATGAACTAACACAGCCACAGTGGAAGGATTTGGTCACATTCAATGAGAAAACTATTACGATTAGCTACTTAAACACTGCAGTTTATTGAAGCAACAGATACAGGTTCTTATGGATTGCCAGTGATAAATACACTGCTTGAAAAAAGCACGTGCAAACAATAGGTTATACAAACGTGCAATGAAGTTATGAATAACACAGCCTGGCCTTAAATATATAAGTAAAATCTGAAAAGTAACTCTATACAGAGATTCCCGATTTTCCCAGGGAAGCACTTAGTACAGTGCAATTCTTACCCAAAGGTGTCCCTATGGAGGGGGGGGGGGGAAGAAAGATCCAGCCTGTCGATCTGTCCCAGAAGCCAAGGGTAATCTGCCAATGGAATTTTTCTCGACTTGTCCACGATGATGTCTTCCCTAATATTCCCCCTTTGTTGGGCCAATTTGTACAATTTTTCACCTCCAAGGTGGAGCTTGAGTGACTCTAGTCGTACATACCTTTATTATTATTGGCGTAAAATTCTCTCTTTTTGCTTTTATGACAAAGAATTGAAAAAGATTGCCCAGAGAGGGGGGATCTCACTTTGGAGGCAGGTAGCATTAGAGATGGAAGCTTAGTTTTGCATCATAATGTATTAAAATGCATTATAATGAAGCAAAGTTTGCACAAAGGACAGCAGTTTGTCAAAAGATGTGAGACTGTTGGCTCAGGGTAGCAATTATGCAGCTCATCAGTTTCTAATACCACCTAGTTCCCATCTCTGCTGGTGTTAGGACAGAGCATGACCAAAGAATCACCACTCTGCCCCATCCTTTGTCAATGCTGCTATGGGAACTGTTGTGGAGTGCACATTCCTGGCACACCAGGAGTATCTGCATCTTTATGTGTGAGTGATGCTACTTTTTAAATATAAGCTTAATTTCTAATTATTCCACAAGGACCTTCACCTGACTGCCATAATTTTTCAAATATGATGGCCAGTGGCTTAGCAACTTCATTCGCCAGCTCCTTCAGGACCCATGGAAGGATTTCATCAGGTCACATGGACTTGTGCACATTCAGGTTTTTAAGATCATCTTGAACCTGATCCTCTCCTACAGTGGGCCGAAGGCCTTCATTCTCACAGTCCCTGCATCTGCCTTCCAAGACTTGGGTGCTGTGGTCAGAGCATTTCCCAGTGAATACTGAGGCAAAGAAGTCATACAGAACCTCAGCCTTCTCCAAATCCAGGGTAGCCAGATCTCTTGATAGCTTCCAGAGAGGGCCCACGTTGTCCTTAGTCTGTCTTTTATTCACAACATACCTATAAAATCCCTTCCTGTTATCTTTCACATCCCTAAACAAATTTAATTCTAATTCTAACTGGGCCTTAGCTTTCCTAACCTTGCCCCTAGATTCCCCGGCAACATCCCTGTATTCTTCCCAGGCTGCCTGTCCTTGCTTTCACCTTTTATAAGCCTCTTTTTTCCCTCAAAGTTCCCTCAGCTGCTCCTTATCCATCCAAGGAGGTCTCCTGTGTGAGATATATATATAGGAATGATTCATGTCAGCAACTTAGGAGTCCTTGTCATCATTGTACTTTGGGTGGAATCAAAAATCCTTGAAATCATTGTATCATGTGTAGAATGTGTAAGAATGATCAGATTAAGATAGATGTTCCTGTCAATACAATGGTGAAAGAGAAGAAGAAACAAAGGAATAATCCTTCTTAATCAAACACTGTTACTTTAAGGGGTACTTTGTTTAACTACTTGAATGTCTCAAATGCTTTGCTAATTAAAGGGGTACTTTTTTTAACTGCTTGAATGCCTTAAGGGGGTTAGGTAATCAAGGGGTACATTCTGTTACGGGATGAGGTGAAACTTGTGTATTCAATATGTAACTATATAAGAAATAAAATTTAGGGGGCTAAGATGGTGGTTAAGCTTGTGACAGACATCCCCTGTTAATGTATTACCAAGGAATTCAATGACTTTTTAAGAAGTTTCTTCACCCGAAGATAAGACCCCAGCAACAGGAGAACAATGAAAAGGAACCACGTCGATATTCGGGTGAAGGAGACGACAGGATTGGCTGAAACCCAAGACCGAGGAGTATAAGAGACTGTACCCCAGAAATCTTGGTGTGCGTCTTGGGTGGAGCGGAGACTCCCCGGCGCACCCAGCGCTGCTTGCTTATTGCCTCTCCATATTAATCAATTGTAATGAAAAAATTAATTAGATCATGGTCAAAACGGAATTTTTATAACATCCTGGTCCTCCTGCTGCACTTCCTTCTAGTTGGGATGCAACACTCCTGAGCTTGTAGCAGGTGATCCTTGAATATCAATCAACAGTCTTGGGCCCCCCTACCCTCTAAGGCTATATCCCATGGAAGCTTACGAAGCAGGTTTCTGAAGAGGCCAAAGTCTGCTCTCAAAGAACTTTAAAAAAAAACAAAACAACAAACTTTTTTTAGCCGTGGTCTTGGCAGTCTTCTGGTAATGAGGCCTGATGATCTTAAAGGTCTTTTCTAATCTAGTTGATTCTATTATCCTACGATTCCTTCTGTCTGACTCTCACAGCCCCTCAGTAAAGGGCAGGCAGCTGGTCTGTGGGCAGTATACTACTGTCAGCCCCACAGGCCTCCCTCAATTGGCATGAAGCGGTGGATGCAAGAACTATCCGCATAGAAGACTTTTTGTTTTATTTTTTCTGCTGCCTCAGCCGGGGCAAGGGAGGTAAGAATGAGTAAGAAAGGGACGTGGCCCCTTTAAATATCTGCCTCCGCCCCCTTCAACGTGGTACAGGGTAGGGGTTAGATTTCATCATGTTCACCTCCGTTTTTCTTGTGGTGTAGAGTTTGTGGAGTAGAATGTAAGTTTTGGGTTGGATATTTTCTGTCTCCGTTCCTCCACCCCTTCGCGTTTTTTTTTTTTTTTTTGTTTTTTTGGGCCGCTGCCGTTTTTTCTGTCTTCTGTTGTCAGCTGTTGGGGGTTTGGCGTCTCCTGGTCTGGAGCAGGAGGGGTACGCTCTGTCCGTGTGGGGTGAGGCTTTGCTTTTTTTTCTCGAGTCCCTGTTATGCTTTGTGGGAAGAATGCTTTGCCGTCGAGCGGACCTGGGGTGGGAGGAGTTGCTGCTGTGTTGGGGGAGGCAGAAAAGAGGATTTGACTGAGTAAGAAAATGGCGGTGAGGAGCCGCGCGGCTCCATTTATTTATTTATTTGTTTGTGCGTCTGTCTGTCTGTCGCTGACCTGTACCCTTTTTGTTGCTACTCTGTCCCAGGAGGACCTGGGCGTACTTGCTTGCACCCCCCTATCGGGCCCTTGCCCTTTTCTCTTTAGGGGTAATATGAGCCTTAGAAAAGAAGAGGGGAGGAAAATGGCCGCTGGGATCAGCCTACCTCGTGTTCCTACTTCGTACTCGCATGTCTTTTTCATCTTCCTTTTTCTCGACCCCGTTTGGTCTGTCTCATTCCACTCTCTGTCTCTCCCTGGTGCTTCGGTGTCTCCTCACGCTCTGACAGTTTCTCCCGAAGGGCATCTACCACCCCCCATTTCTTTTTTCTCCAGTTTCTGCCCCCACCTTCCTCCATATTGTTATTTTCTCATGCGGATGCGGACTCTGGGGTTATCCTATGCTGGTGCCTTCGCATGTCAGTCTTTTCTTGTTCGGTTTCCTGATTTCATGTTATGGCTGTACTTATTTTTGTGTTGTCCCGTTCCAGCTCTCTTTTGCCTCCATCCTGCAGCGTGGCTTAGGTGTGCTTCCCATACCGTTTCATTTTCAGTACTACACCTTCTATCGTTGTGCTCCAAACTATTACAACGGTATTTTCCCTACATTGATCCATTAGTATTAATCAAATTCTGTTTTTTTCTTTGTAAATTGTTTGTTTCATTGCCAGTTAAAAAAGGCTGGTATTCGTTTTTCTTTGCTGATATACGGTCCTTTTGTTGCCTTTTCCAAGCTGTAGTTTAATTTATACAGTTTCACCTTGTGATGGTTATTTTTATTCTCAAAGAACAAATGAGCTATTTATTTGTTGCAAAGAGCTTCCAGTAGCAGGCAAGATGTTCAACTGCTATATCTAACCGCATATTTGCATACTAGAGAGATGTAGAAGCACACCTGGCAGCATGCATTTGGGGAAGATTGAACGTTTGTCTGGCAAATGAATGGACTCTAGTGATTGTGGTAAAGCTGTAGTTCACTGTAACTCAAGATGGTTTTTCAGACTTTAGTATTATTGATGGGAATTTGTAACTTCATGTATGATCATAGTGCAGCTGTTGCTTGCAAATTCAACTAGGTGAAATACTCTTAAGAATATAGATAATGCTGGGGCCGTAATTGCTTATATTTATGAATGTAATATTGACACTTCAACTGGAGGACAGTGTTATATTTTTTTACACGATGGTTTCTACCGTATGTAGGGATTTATGAAACTGGGGAAGAGGTATAAGAGGGAAGGGTATTTGAAATATCTGCAGCATGTCTTAAAGCTTCTATGAAAAGTCAGGAAAGTCTTCGGGGGCAGAGGTGGGTTAATTAAGATGAATCTTTACAAACAGGTTTGAAGATGGCTTTCTAGCCATAATGGGATGTATCTATTGTTTAATGTTCTCATTTTCTCTTCCTAGAATGCCTAAGTCAAAGGAACTTGTGTCTTCAAGCTCATCAGCTAGTGATTCAGATAGTGAAGTTGACAAAAAGGTGAACATTATATGCAGTTTATAACTCCTGTATTAACACTTATGTTTAAGGCTGGGGTTAGGGAATTTGACAAGCATTATGTCACAAAATACATGTCATTCCATGATTTACAGACACTTAAAAAAACACCCCTCCCAACCCTAAAACCAAACAAAACCCACCCTCCAAGATTATGGGTTGGGTAGATGATTTTGCATAGCAGTAAACTTTTTTTTCACTTGCATTTGCTTTTCTAAGGGTTTGTTTGTTTTTTTCATAGATTGTTTTTTTGTTGGGTTTTGGTTTGTTTCTTTTTTTCTTTTTTTTTTTTATTTTCATATGATGTCTATCTAGCCACTAACTTCCTGGAATTCTTTGCTGCTCTGTGCCAAGTGATAGAACTACTACCCTCTGCTCTTGTGAGATCCTGCTTGGAGTACTGTGTGCAGTTTTCTTGTCCTCAGCCGAAGAAGGACATGGAGCTATTGGAGCAAGTTGTCTGGGAAGCTAGGGACCAGGTTAGGAAAGCTAAGGCCCAGTTAGAATTAAACTTGGCTAGGGATATTAAGGATAACAGGAAGGGATTCTACAGGTACATAGCAAATAAAAAACAGACTAGGGAGAACGTAGGCCCCCTCAGGAAGCTCTCGGGAGAACTAGCTACCCAGGATTTGGAGAAGGCTGAGGTTCTGAATGACATCTTTACCTCAGTCTTCACTGGCAAAGGCTCAGACCCCACCACCCAATTCTTGGAAGGCAGACGCAGGGACTGTGAGAATGGAGACCTTGGGAACACTGTAGGAGAGGAACTGATTCGAGACCATCTTAAAAATCTGAACATACACAAGTCCATGGGACCTGATGAAATCCATCCGCGGGTCCTGAAGGAGCTGGTGAATCAAGTTGCTAAGCCGCTGGACATCATATTTGAAAAATCATGGCAGTCAGGTGAAGTTCCCAGCGACTGGAAAAAGGGAAATATAACCCCCATTTTCAAGAAGGGCAGAATGGATGACCCAGGGAATTACAGACCACTCAGTCTCATCTCTGTGCCTGGCAAAATCATAGAGCAGATTCTCCTGGAAGGCATGCTAAGGCACATGAAAATCAACAAGGTGCTTGGTGACAGCCAGCATGGTTTCACCAAGGGGAAATCCTGCCTGACCAATTTGGTGTCCTTCTAAGATGGGGCTACGGAAGTGATGGAAAGGGGCAAAGCTGTCAGTGTTATCTACCTGGACTTCTGCAAACCTTTTGACACTGTCCTGCATGACATCTATGTCTCTAAATTGGAGAGACGTGAATTTGATAGGTGGACCACTTGGTGGATAAAGAACTGGCTGGATGGCCGCACACAAGGAGTTGTGGTCAATGGCTCAATGTCCGGCTGGAGACCAGTAACGAGTAGTGTCCCTCAGGGATGGGTGTTTGGACCGGTCTTGTTTAACATTTCTGTTGGTGACATGGATAGTGGGATTGAGTGCACCCTCAGCAAGTTTGCCGATGACACCAAGCTGTGTGGTTCGGTTGATACGCTGGAGGGAAGGAATGCCATCCAGAGGGACCTTGACACGCTTGTGAGGTGGGCTGATGCCAACCTCATGAAGTTTAACCATGCCAAGTGCGAGGTCCTACACCTGGGTCAGAGCAATCCCAGGCACAGCTACAGGCTGGGCAGAGAAGAGATTCAGAGCAGCCCTGTGGAGAAGGACTTGGAGGTGTTGGTCGATGAGAAAATGAATGTGAGCCGGCTTCAGTGTGTGCTTGCAGCCCAGAAAGCAACCGTATCCTGGGCTGCATCAAAAGGGGTGTGACCAGCAGGTCGAAGGAGGTGATCCTGCCCCTTTATTCTGCTCTCGTGAGACCTCACTTGGAGTGTTGTGTGCAGTTCTGGTGTCCTCAACATAAAAAGCACATGTAACTGTCGGCAAAGGTCCAGAGGAGGGCCATGAGGATGCTCAGGGGACTGGAGCACCTCCCATATGAAGATCGGCTGAGAAAGTTGGGGCTGTTCAGCCTGGAGAAGAGAAGGCTGCATGGAGACCTCATAGCAGCCTTCCAGTATCTGAAGGGGGCCTATAGGGATGCTGGGGATGGACTCTTCCTTAGGGACTGTAGTGATAGGACAAGGGGTAATGGGTTAAAACTTAAACAGGGGAAGTTTATATTGGTCATAAGGAGGAAATTCTTTCCTGTTAGGGTGGTGAGGCACTGGAATAGGCTGCCCAGGGAGGTTGTGAATGCTCCATCCCTGGCAGTGTTCAAGGCCAGGTTGGACGAGGCCTTGGGTGATATGGTTTAGAGCGAGGTGTCCCTGCCCATGGCAGGGGGATTGGAACTTGATGATCTTAAAGTCCTTTTCAACCCTAACTGTTCTATGATAAGTCCAGAGGAGGTCCATGAGGATAATCGGGCGGCTCAAGCATCTACCATACGAAGGCTGAGAAAATTTGGACTTTTCAGCTTGGAGAAGAGAAGCTGTGTGGAGACCTCATAGTAACCTTCAGTATATAAAGGGTGCATACAGTGATGCTGGAGAGGGACTCTTCATCAGTGACTGTTGCAATAGGACAGGGGGCAGTGGGTTCAAACTGAAACAGGGGAAGTTCAGGTTAGATATAAGGAAGAAGTTCTGTACTGTGAGGGTGGTGAGGCAGTGGAACAGGTTGCTCAAAGAAGTGGTAAATGCTCTTGGTAGTGTTTAAGGCCAGGTTGGACAGAGCCTTGGGCAACATGGTCTAGTGTGAGGCACCCTTGCCCATGGCAGGGGGTTGGAACTAGATGATCTTATGGTCCTTTCCAACCCTAACTATTCTATGATTCTGTGTCAGATTCTTACATATACTGTTATACCATCTGCTAGTTCTCACTTAAAAGCTGTTTTATATTCTAGTCATTTCAAATAAAAGTTGAATATGACAGTAAGCTTATCTTTTAATCAATGCTGGGTGGTAATGCAGACACCAAGTCTTTTAGTGCAGTATTTGAGGAGACTGTCTGCTTTACTAAGTTGATTCAAATGTGACTTGGATACACTTAGCAAATCAGGTGTTTTGTCAAATATTACCATAAGAGGAAATGGTCTGGGAGGTGTTTGTTTAGTGGGTTTTGTTCTGTTATTGTTGTAAGGTTTTTGTTTGGTTGGCTTTTTTTTCCAAAATGTATTCCTGAAAGAACATAGTCTAATAGCCTGCTTCAGTGAGCAGTAAAGTTGTTTGGCTTTGTTGCTGTTTTTTTTTGTTGTTGTTGTTGTTGTTTTGGGTTTTTTTTCTTATGACTACCTCCAGTATTTGTTAGAACTGTCTGTCTTTAAAAGAGGTTATGTACAGTATGATTCTAGCAGGTGAGACTTAATTTTTGGTATCTTTCTAATACTATTTACTTGAGTGGGCATGATTACTATATAAACGTTAGTGAAAGTAACTTTAGCATCTGCTAGCAAAGTAATTTGACTTACAGGTGATATCTGAATATTTTAAAAATATGTTTGATTTATCATGCTATAAACAGGTTGGACAGATGAAATAAAAAATATTTTTATTATTCTCTGTTGGATTTGCTTTCCAGATCCCTGTATTCTAGTTCAGTTATCTTTAAAGCTAAGGTATAATGGTAAACTTGACTGGGAACAGAAATAGGGTCATTTGAAGACTGATCCATATTAGCCCCCCCCGGCTAAATGTACAGTACTGGATTTGTGCCTTCACAGAAGGAATGTGATAATGTGTATTGCATAGCATTATTTTGTGACTTCTAATATAAACTTTCACTTATTAAATACTTTTTTGTAACTTCAATAAAATTAGTTGTGGTTCATGCATTTTTATTTTTGCTCCAAGGTAAAGCGGAAAAAGCAAGCAGCTCCAGAAAAGCCTGTAAAGAAACAAAAGACTGGTGAAAGTTCCAAAGGCACAGCTGCTTCTAAGCAAAGCAGTGACAGAAATGAGAATATGTTTCAGGTAAAATTGGTGACTCTCTTAAAGCCTGGTTAAGGTAATAATTTACATGATATTCAGTATAAATTTTATGACACAGTCTGAAAATCTTGATAGTGTCGTGTTTGGTCTCCTGAAGCCTCGACTAAAGGAGCTTTATGATTCCAGCATGCAAATGAAATGCTCAGAAATAGTGTTGGGTTTTAGCAGAGTAGAAGAATCCAAGTTCTAGCAATTAATTCTGTCATGCTGTTGCCCATGGTAACTCTCTGGGTCTGTTTTTTGTCTCATTTTGTCTGTAAATACAGTACTTGCCGTGAGTATATGGTAAATATTTACAAGAGTCTTTTACATGGATTTATTCTTAATTTTGTTTTTATTATTAGGGCTCCTCTTGGAAACTAAAGTATGGGCTCTTCATTCCTATTTAGGTTAAAGGCAACTTGGCTTCTGTCATATAAGACGGTGTCTTGGAATTAAATTTTGCTTGTTGCTTTATCATGCATATTTTTCTCCCTGAACATAGAATCCTAGAATTCTAAGGGTTGGAAAGGACCTTAAGATCATCTAGTTCCAATCCCCCAGCCATGGGCAGGGACACCTTGCACTAAACCATGTTGCTCAAGGCTCTGTCCACCCTGGCCTTGAACACTGCCAGGGATGGATCATTCACAACTTCCCTGGGCAACCCATTCCACTGCCTCACCACCCTCACAGTAAAGAAATTCCTCCTTATATCCAGTCTAAACTTCTCCTGTTTAATTTTTAACCCATTACCCCTTGTCCTATCATTACAGTCCCTAATGAAGAGTCCATCCCCAGCATCCCTATAGGCCCCCTTCAGATACTGGAAGGCTGCTATGAGGTCTCCACACAGCCTTCTCTTCTCAAGAATGAGCAGCCCAAACTTTCTCAGCCTGTCTTCATACGGGAGGTGCTCCAGTCCCCTAGTCATCCTTGTGGCCCTCCTCTGGACTTGCTCCAACAATTTCATGCCCTTTTTATGTTGAGGACACCAGAACTGCGCACAACACTCCAAGTGAGGACTTGCAAGAGCAAAGTAGAGGGATAGAATCACCTCCTTTGACCTGCTGATCACACTCCTTTTGATGCAGCCCAGGATACGGTTGGATTTTTTGGGCTGCAGACGCACACTGCTGGCTCATGTTCAGTTTCTCATCAACCAACACCCCCAAGTCCTTTTCCACAGGGCTGCTCTGAATCTCTTCTCTGCCCAACCTGTAGCTGTGCCTGGGATTACCCAGACCCAAGTGTAGGACCTTGCACTTGACATGGTTAAACTGCATAAGGTTGGCATCAGCCCACCTCACAAGTGTGTCAAGGTCCCTCTGGATGGCATTCCTTCCCTCCAGTGTATCAACCGAACCACACAGCTTGGTGTCATTAGTAAACTTGCTGAGGGTGCGCTAAATCCCACTGTCCATGTTACCAACAGAGATGTTGAACAAGGCCAGGCCCAACACTGATCCCTGAGGGGCACCACTTGTTACTGGTCTCTAGCCAGACATTGAGCCATTGACCACAACTCTTTGCGTGTGGCCATCCAGCCAGTTCTTTATCCACTGAGTGGTCCAGCTATTAAACTGATGTCTCTCCAATTTAGAGGCAAGGATGTCAGGTGGGACAGTGTCGAACGCTGTGCACAAATCCAGATAGATGACATCAACTGGTCTTTCCCTGTCCATCAGTTCTGTAGGCCCATCATCGAAGGCCACCAAATGGGTCAGGCAGGATTTCCCCTTGGTGAGGCCATGCTGGCTGTCACCAAGCACCTTGTTTTTCATGTGCCTTAGCATGCCTTCCAGGAGAATCTGCCCTATGATTTTGCCAGGCGCAGAGGTGAGACTGACTGGTGTGTAATTTCCTGGGTCATCCATTTTCCCTTTCTTGAAAATGGGGGTTATATTTCCCTTTTTCCAGTCATTGGGAACTTCACCTGACTGCCATGATATTTTCAAATATGATGGGCAGTGGCTTAGCAACTTCATTCGCCAGCTCCTTCATGACCTGTGGACGGACTTCATCAGGTCCCATGGAATTGTGTATGTTCAGGTTCTGAAGATTGTCTCGAACTAGATCCTCTCCTACAGTGTTCCCAAGGTCTTCATTCTCACTGTCCTGCCTTCCAGGACTTGGGTGGTGTGGTCAGAGCATTTGCCAGTAAAGACTGAGGCAAAGAAGTCATTGAAAACCTCCTGCTTTCTCCAAATCCAGGGTAGGCAGTTCTCCTGATAGCTTCCAGAGAGGCCCCACGTTGTCCTTAGTCTGTCCCTTTTATTTGCAATGTGCCTGTAGAATCCTTTACTTTTATCTTTCACATCCCTCGACAAATTTAATTCTAATTCTAACTGGGCCTTAGCTTTACTGACCTGGTCCCTAGCTTCCCAGGCAGCATCCCTGTAATCTTCCCAGGCCACCTGTCCTTGCTTCCACATTTTATAAGCCTCTTTTTTTCCCCTCCAGGTTTCCTCAGTAGCTCCTTATCCATCCAAGGAGGTCTCCTGGCCCTCCTGCTGCACTTCCTTCTAGTTGGGATGCAGCACTCCTGAACTTGGAGCAGGTCATCCTTGAATATCAACCAACAGTCTTGAGCCCCCCTGCCCTCTAGGGCTATTTCCCATGGAACCTTACTAAGCAGGTTACTGAAGAGGCCAAAGTCTGCTCTCGAAGTTCAGGGTAGTGAGGTTGCTGTATGCTCCTCTCACTGTCCTGAGGAACTCGACCATCTCGTGATAGCTGTATCCAAGGGTGTCCTGGAGCATCACATTTCCAGCCAGCCCCTTCCTGTTGGTGAGCATGAGGTCAAGCATGACACCTCTCGTTGTTGGCACCTCTATTACTTGTAGAAGGAAGTTGTCTTCCATACAGTCGTAGAACCTCCTGGATTCTGGGTTGTACCGTCGCTCCAACAGATATCAGGGTGATTGAAGTCCCCCAAGAGAACAGGTGCTTGCAAGTGTGAGCCTGTTCTTATTTTTCTTTAGAGCGCTTCATCTGCAGGGTCTTCTTGATCAGGCTGTCTGTAACATATCCCCACAGTAATGTCCCCCATAGCTGTTCTCCCTTTAACCCTGGCCCACAAACTGTCTGTTGACTGCTCACCTGTCCCCAGACAGAGTTCCATACTCTGCAGCCTATTCCTAACATAAATAGCAACTCCCCCTCCCCGCCTGCCAGGCCTGTCTTTTCTAAAGAGCCTATAACCTTCCGTTCCAACACTTCAGTCATAGGTGACATCCCACTATGTTTCTGTGATGCCTTTTATATCATACCCCCGTAGGCGTGCGCACATCTCTAATTCCTCTTGTTTGTTCCCAGTGCTACGGGCATTTGTATAGAGGCATCAGACCTGAGCTCCAAATGAAGCTGGCTCATTGGTTGGTGCAGTTGGAATATCTCTACATAGCTCTGAGCATTTGTTATAGGTGCTGGCAACTGACTGGGTGTGTTGGGATGGAATGATGCCCCCCTCCCCCAACACATCTAATTTCAGTCTTTCTTGACCAGCCTGGCAAGCCTCCTACCAAAACTGCTCTTCTTTATGAGGCTAGGTTCACCAGCCTCCGGTAGACCTGTCCTCCTAAATTGAGTCCCATGTTCTAGATACCCAAACCCCTGACTATGACACCACCCTTTTAACCACTTATTAACCTGGCAAATTCACCTAGCCTTTTTAAGTTCCTCCTCTTATGCTGAAGCGTTGATGAAAAGGCTCTCTGAGCTCCAGAGTCCCTAACCACCTATCCCAGGGCTCTGTAGTCCTTGATGTTCACCGGGCTGCTGTTGTCTATATCACTAGCACCCACATGGATAACTGAATGGGTATTAGTCAGTGGGACTTACTAGACCAGGCAGCCTCTCTGCAACATCCCTGATCTGAGCCCCTGGTAGGCAACACACCTCCCTTGAGACTGGGTCAGGCCAATAGTTGGGTGACTGTTCCTTTCAAAGTAGAGTCCCCTACTGCTAATCCCAAGGGATTACTTTTTTTTATATTGTCCTTAATTTTAAGATGGGGTGAATGTATGTTTTTCAGTAGCATGACACATTTGTGAGTTCACAGTATTGTTCCCAGGGTTAGCTAAGGCAGTACCATTGTGTGCTGAAAGCTGTGGAAGAATATATGTATCTCAGATATACCTGGTTTAGGGTTGTGAATCAAGATTTGATAAATGTCTATGACTAGCTAGCTTGAAAGAGGCAAAGGATAAGAAAGGAACCTAAATTCTTAGAGGCTTTGAATCTTAAGTTTGTGAAAGGCTATGGAAGAGGTGCCTAATAATGTGATCTCAACATTAAGGCAGAAGAAATGATTTTAGGCGGTAGCTGTGCAAAGTAATGTGGAAAAAAACCCACCCATATCTAGAGAGGAGACCTGCTTAACTGATACTGTAGTACAGGATGGTTGGTTTTAATGTATAGATTCTCCCTTTTCATGGGGGGAGAGCTTCAATTTAAGACTCTGAGCATCAATGCCTGGACTTCCACTTTGAAAGAAGAATATTATATTTTTAGTTCTTTTGGGGTATGCTTTGATCTATGTAGGAAAAATGAGATAGTAGCTTCTATACCTAATGAGGTGAACTGCAGTCAGAACTGAAAAAAAAACCCAAACAACAAACACTTCAAGAAAAACCCCACCACAAAAAAAAAAAACAACAACCCACAGAATAACAGAAAAAAACTCTACATTATAGCCTTTATGCTAGGCTTGTAATAGGTTCAGAAATTCCAGGCCTGGGGAAAATGGTTAAAATTTTTAATGCTCACCTGATTGGGGGGGTGGGGGGGACGGACACAGGGAACAACCTCAAACCCAACCAAAAACCCCCCAAAAACCAGTACCAACCAACCAAAAAAACAAACATCAAAAACCACCCCAAAACCCCTTTTATTTGAAATAAAATCAGAAGTATTTGTGCTCTGATTTCTTTTTGACCTGATATAATAAAGTTACTAAAAACAGACAATAGGGGACCTGTATTAATCTCATAAGAGCAGGATTCTTCCAGTGTTGAGTATAATATAGGAAAAAAAATATTTCAGTATTGCCTTGACCTAAATTATCAGTTTTCCTTAGTCCATTTGCCTTTTGGTTGCTTAACAACAAAATGCTTAAATCTATACTATGTTCTATGAAGCTTTGTGTTTCTTTTCATGCTATATCAGCTTATGTGTGTTAATTTTTTAGGTATGGTTTTGTTTGTTCTATTAGGACTACTAATAATACCAGCAATTCTCCTTTCTGCTTCCCCATGGTAGTAAAGTGGTCTCTGTTGCAAGTGACTTCTTGGGTTTGGGTGGGTGTTTTTTGTTGAAGTTTGGGTTGAGTTTGGTTTTTGACTTGAAATAAGTTGTAATGTCTTTACCTATCATAGACTTCTAAAAGTAGATAAAAATGTTTATGATGCTCTAGAAGGTGATATATTGTGAAATGCATTATTGACAACCTAAGTTTCAGAATTAATGTACTAAATCATAGAATGGTTAGTGTTGGGAAAGACCATAAATTCATATAGTTCCAACCCCCCTGCCATACACAGGGGCACTCTAACACTAAGTCACGTTGCCCAATGCTCTGTCCAACCTGGCCTTGAACACGGCCAGGGATGGAACATTGATGACTTCCTTGGGCAACCCGTTCCAGTGCCTCACCACTCTCACAGTGAAGAACTTCCTCCTTATATCTAAGCTGAATCTCCCTGTTTAAGCTTGAACCCATTGCCCCTTGCCCTATCTCTAGAGTCACTGATGAAGAGCATCACTGTAGGTGCTCTTCAGTGACTTAAGTAGCATGTCTAGAGCACTTGTCATTGAAGACTAAGGCAAAGAAGTCACTGAAAACCTCAGCCTTTTCCAAATCCAGGGTAGCCAGGTCTGTTCCCTTCTGGAGAGGGCCCACAATATCCCTAGTCTTTCTTTTGGCAACAACATACCTATAGAAACCCTTCCTGTTATCTTAAATATCCCTGGCTGGACTCAATTCTAAGTGGTCCTTAGCTTTCCTGACCTGATCTGTAGCTTCCCAGACAATGGCCCATTCTTCCCAGGCTACCTGTCTTCACTTTAACCTTTTGTAAGCTTCTTTTTTCCTTCTGAGTTTTTTCAGCAGCTCCTTGTCCATCCATGGAGGCCCTCTGGCCTTCTTGCTCCATTTCCTTGTTGTCTGGACACAAGGTTCCTGAGCTTGGAGCAGGTGATCCTTCAATATTATCCAGCATTCTTGCCACCCCACACCCTGGCTTTTTCCCATGGGACCTTACTGAGCAGGTTCCTGAAGAGGCCGAAGTCTGCTCTCTTGAAGTCCAGGGCAGTGATCTTGTTGTGTGCCTTTGCTGTCATGAGGATCATCTTGCAGCATCACATTCCTCACCAGCCCCTCCCTGCTGATGAGCATAAGGTCAAGCATGGCACTTGTTGGTTCCTCTGCCACCTGCAATAGGAAGTTGTCTTCCACACAATTGCAGAACCTCCTGGATTGCTTGTGCTGTGCTGTCCTTCCACCAGATATCGTGGTGGTTGAAGTCCCCCATGAGGCCAAGGACCTGTGAGCGTGAGGCTGCTCCCTATCTGCCTATAGATGGCTTCATCCGTGCAGTCCTGACAGGGTGGCCTGTAGCAGACCCCCATAGAAATGTCCCCCATCACAGTTCTTCCTTTGACCGTAACCCACAAACTCTCTGTTGACTGCTCACCTGTCCCCAGACAGAGTTCCATACTCTCCAGCCTATTCCTAACATAAAGGGCAACTCCCCCTCCCCACCTGCCGGGCCTGTCTTTTCTAAAAAGCCTGTAAACTTCCATTCCAACACTCCAGTCATAGGAGCCATCCCGCCATGTTTCTGTAATATGACTCGGAGAAAACTCCCGGAAGAAACTTGCCAACAAAATTTTCAAGCTGACAAGCAGGCATTCTTCATTGCGGCACCGGGAGACACAGGGGATAGCTCCTCCTAACGTATGTCCCCCAATTGCCACACAAGCCGTTCTTTTATAGTCCCTGGGCACACATACATATTTATGAGGCTGCCTATGGATTATATAATTTTCCAGAAAGTTCCCCACATGCGTACAGACTTGTGGTGGTGGTCTCTGAGGGTTATTTACTTCTTCCAACAATCTTCATCACTTCTGGCAGCCTTTGAAGCACGCGCAGTAGATGCTCATACCAGTTTAATTGGTTCGTTAGCACCAGAGACATAATAATCCTCCTATCCTCCTACTTATCAGTTAGTTTAACTGTAGCCCACCCTGGACACCTGCAGTTCCCAGATACTCCTTATCCCTGTGTCCTGTTCTTCTAGACTGTTTTTCTTAAAACTAGGCCAACTATAACTATTTATCTTGTGAGAATTCTCAGTATGTTCTCTAGCTGTATTCTATTTTTTTTTCTATGTATCATGCACCTCAGTAATTTTCCATTGCTACTGTTACAAAGCCATCAAACTTAACATTACTTAAAACTAATTCTTCGATGTTCACAGGACTCTCTCTTCTATGAGTTTATATTAACTTATTGTGCTGTTTTGGATGCTATATATATAGTTATAAGCTAAGAAATAGATGTTTCTACTTCTACAGTATGTATACAGTTTAATCAACGCAAACTGGAAGTAGGGAATAATGGTAAAGAAGATAGTTGCTGAAACTCAGGAGTCATCTAGTTGTATAGCTGTGGAAAAAAGCCTAGACACTTTTTTTTTTTTATTCTAAATGCATTTTATTCTAAGAAATGGAAACCTGGAAAAATATTTTTTATGTCTTCTGATTTAATTCAATAGAATAGTATATCTGAGGAGCTGTGATACTTAATAAAAAGCCTATGAACTTGTCTATGAAGTTTGAACTGTAGTAACTACCCTACTATAAATCGGTTACAGTTCTTGGAACACTAATGTGGTTACAGAGATACAAAGATGTCCAGTGAAATTATTCTAGGACTGTCAACTGCTGTGTGAAGAGCATTGCAGGTAACTGAACTTCAAGAAACATTTATTTACTTAAACCTGTATTTTGGTTGAGGTTTTCAAACTGCATCCTGTGTAGAGTTCTGGTGTCTTCAGCATAAAAAGGACATGTTGCTATTGGAGCAAGTCCAGAGGAGAACCACAAGGACGATAAGGGGGCTGGAGCACCTCCCATATGAAGACAAGCTGAGAAAATTGGGGCTGTTCAGCTTGGAGAAGCTGTGTGGAGACCTCATAGTAACCTTCAGTATATAAAGGGGGCCGACAGTGATGCTGGAGAGGTACTCTTCATCAGTGACTGTAGCGATAGGACAAGAGGCAATGGGTTCAGACTGAAACAGGGGAAATTCAGGTTAGATATAAGGAAGAAGTTCTTTACTGTGAGGGTGGTGAGGCAGTGGAACAGGTTGCTCAAAGAAGTGGTAAATGTTCCTGGTAGTGTTTAAGGCCAGGTTGGACAGAGCCTTGGGCAACATGGTCTAGTGTGAGGCATCCTTGCCCATGGCAGGGGGTTGGAACTAGATGATCTTAAGGTCCTTTCTAACCCCAACTATTCTATGATTCTATGAACTGTTTTGCATAGAGTTCAACTAAACATTTGAAATTTAATATGAGCATTCACCTGAAATCTAGACAGTGGTGTAAAACCCAATGTAATTTCATTGTTTTCATATGGAACTGTCTACATTTAAGGTAGACTTACTAAGTAAATGATGTGGACTTTTTATTATTGTCGCTTCCCTTGATGTAGTTGAATTAAGATATGTAGTCTTTAATAGTCAAATCCTAAATCCTTTTGCTGTATTTGCAGCATTGATCTGCTATATTGTATTGAGTTTTATTTCTTGGAGCAAATCTGGAATTACTTGGCAATGCACTAATTTTCTTTGATAGACCTAAAAAAAAAAAAAAAAAAAAAAAAAGTGGAGTACTACTGTTTGAAGCTGGTTTATAGGTGACTTTAAAAGTCACTGAAATGTGATAGGGTAAAACCAAGAAATGTTGTTCCTGTAGGCTTTTTAGGTTATCTTTTGCCAGTAGTGCTGATGGTTTTGGGCATGGTACCAAGTTTGGTCTGAAAGAACTCTGCTACTGACATTACAACTTATTTTTGAACATTAAATGCTTAGTGCTGTGAAATTATTTAATAAATCACAAAGTACTCTGGATTAAGCCCTTGATCTAGTTGTTTCTTTGGTGTTTAAAATAAGTTGTAGTATGTGATGTCACATGTCCAAGTCTGATATTGCTGGGAAAAGTGAATGCTGTAGAATTGTCGTGGTTTAAGCCCAGCTGGTAACCTAGGCCAAATACATAAAATATCTAAAAGATATCCTTGTTTTACAGATTGGCAAAATGAGGTATGTAAGTGTTCGTGACTTTAAAGGGAAAGTCTTAATTGATATTAGAGAATATTGGATGGATCAAGAAGGCGAAATGAAGCCTGGCAGAAAAGGTATTGTTCTGCTTCATGTTCTTTTTGTATTGAAACATTGTCTGTGGTTTGCTGGAGAACTTAGTTTTTCACTTTTTTTTATACCTTGCTGCTACATGTTATTTTGAGTACTTCAACTTTTTTTTTTTATATAATTTGACAAATGATTAGTTTTGTCTGTAGATTATGAACAGAAACAAAATGTTTTTGTTGGCTTGAGTCTGTTTTCCTAAACGGATACCTCGTGATTTATAAAGGAAAAGGCAACAAATGCAAGCAAATTTGGTATGGAAGTTATACACATAGCCGTACATTTTTCCATTGATTAACTTAACACAATTTATTGCTTTTGTGTTTCTTATATCAAAGTCACTGAAATTATTTATCAATTTTTTATAAGATGGTAATTTCTTTTAAATATCTTCAATTTCTATCAAATTTTAGATTAAAAATAACAAATACTTAATGTGGTTAATTTAAAAAAAAATCAAGATGTTTAGGTGAAAATACATTAAGTGCTCAGGTTTTGGTACTGTGCTTCTAATCTGCAACACAAAATAAGCCATTGTACCTTTAATTGCTATTCCCATAGCTACCTATTATGGCATGCTTTTACTTGAACCATTTTCAAATTTGCTACTTGCAAGGCAGGGATGCGAGGATAGTTGCAGTGGTAGTTCTTAATGTTGTGTTGTTTCTGTTAGAAAAGCTTACTTTAAATAATTTTTCATATCGCACCAAGGAAAAAGGTAAGCAACATCCTGTCCTGGAGATGGAAAACATAAATTTAGAATCAGCATAAGGTTTGCTACATTTTCCTAGTATGTCCAGGAGCAAATAGATGTTTGGAGAGATTGAGAAATGTTTTCAACAGCTCTTCAATAACTATTGATACCAGATTTGTATGAACAGCTGTACCAGTACTGTAAAGGAAAATTTCTTGGTTTGGATTTGTTGCTGCTACTTAACAAAAAAAGATTACTCCAACATCTAAGGACTTTAAAAGGCTGTATTTTGAGGTGGAAATTGTAAGTATGTGCAGATTGAGTGGTAAACTACAATGAAACTTGATGGGTATGCCAAGTCAAAAAATTATGTGATAGATGGTTTTGTCACATTGATAACCATATCTGAGTTTTATTAAGATTAATAATAATCTGATACAGTATGAGTCTAATGTTCCATTGATGCACTTGAGCCCCTTATCTAGCTATCCTAAAAACAGTATAAACAGTTGAGATGTTGGATTTTTTTTTCATATATTACACTAATTTAGAATTGCTGTGTCAGATTGTTTCCAACAGCAGGTCTAAATTGCATGCAGTTGTCCTGGTTTAAGCCCAGCTGGTAGCTCAGAGCCATGCAGCTGTTAGCTCCCCCACTTCTTCCTCCCCCTGCTCCTAGGGGGACAAGAAAGAGAATCAAAAGAAAGTAACTCCCATGGGTGGAAATAAGAACAGTCCAGTAATCCAGTCCAGTTTCCTGTCACTGCTTCTTCCTGGCTTCTGCATAAGCATTACTTAGCAACAATGAAAAACATTGGTGTTATCAGCACTGTTCCCACTGTTACTCTGATCAAAGACTTTGTGAGTCTCATGCTTTGACAGGGAGGAGGGGAAGCCAGGCAGAAGCAGTGACAGGACACCTGACCCAAACTAGCCAAGGGGTATTCCATACCACAGCATGTCATGCCCAGTACATAAACTGGGAGGAGTTACCTGGAAGGCCCAGATCCCTGTTCAGGTCAGGCTGGGTATGGTTCGGTGGGTGGTGAGCAATTCTATTCTCTCCTCTTGTTATTTCCCTTATCATCATTATTATTTGTTGTGGTAGTAGTATTGGTCTTGTATTACACCTTAATTACTGGACTGTTCTTATCTCAAACAGTGGGAGTTACATTCTTTCAATTCTTCTTCTTGCTCCTCCAGGAGTGTGGGGAGAAGGGAGGAAAGGCTGTGTGGTTCTGAGTTAGGGCTGGGCTTAAACCACAACACCTGGGCAATAATGTCCATTGTGAAGTCCACCTCTCAATCAGGAGCCCATCTATATGTTGCCTCTCTGCCTTGATGGCCTGAAGTGTCATGGGCCCACCAGCTAAAAATAATTCACCCTTATGTTGCAAATCTAAGTCCATCTGAGCTACTTCAATCTTAGCAGCTTTATCCACCAGGTTTTTCTGGTGTTCCTCAGTGGCCTGACTTTTGGGTACATGGGCATCTACATGGTGTACCTTCACCACCAGGTTCTGCACTCGAGCAGCAATATCTTTCCACAGTGCAGCAGCCCAGATGGGTTTACCTCTGCATTGCCAGTTGCTCTGCTTCCATTGCCGCAGCCACCCCCACAGGGCATTTGCCACCATCCATGAGTCAGTATAGAGATAAAGTACTGGCCACTTTTCTCATTCAGCAATGTCCAGGGCCAGCTGGATGGCTTTTACCTCTGCAAACTGACTCGATTCACCCTCTCCTTCAGCAGTTTCTGCACCTTGTTGCTGGGGACTCTATACAGGTGCCTTCTATCTCCGATGTTTTCCCACAGTACAGCAGAACCCATCAGTAAACAAGCCACACTACTTTTTACTTTATGATAGTTCTATATATGATAGGGCATCTTAAGCACGTATTGCATCCTCCTCTGGTAACATTCCAAAATTTTTGCCCTCTGGCCAGTCCATCATGACTTCTAGAATGCCTGGATGACTGGGATTTCCTGGTTGAGCTTGTTGTGTAATTAATGCAGCCCGCTTATTCCAGGTAGCATCAGTTCCATGATGTGTAGAGGAGACCCTGCCTTTGAACATCCAGCCCAGCAGGGGCAACTGGGGTGCCAGGAGGAGCTGTGCTTCAGTGCCAGTCACTCCCAAAGCAGCTCAAACCCCTTCATAGGCTGCCAGTATCTCTTTCTCAGTTGGGGTATAGCTGTCCTCGCATCCTCTGTATCCCCAACTCCAAAAGCTGAGGGGTCGACCTTGAGTCTCCCTTGGTGCTTTCTGACAGAGGTTCCAGGTAGGAGCATACTCACCAGCTGCAGTGTAGAGTACATTTTTTACATCTGTCCTGGTCCGAACTGGTCCAAGGGCTACTGCATGAACTGTCTCTCGTTTAATTTGTTCAAAGGCTTGTTGTTGCTCAGGGCCCCATTTGAAATTGTTCTTCTGGCTCACTTGATAGAGAGGGCTTACAATCATACTGTAATTTGGAATGTGCATTCTCCAGAACCTCAGAACACCTAAGAAAGTTTGTGTTTCTTTCTTGTTAGTTGGTGGAGACATTGCTGTTATCTTGTTGGTCACATCTGTGGGGGCCTGTCACCATCCATTTTGCCATTTTATTTGTAAATGTTGACTCTCCTTTGCAGGTCCCATGACCTTCCTCCATTTTATGGCAAAATCGGCCTTCAGCAGGATTTGTATTATTTTCTTCCCTTTCTCAAAAACTTCTGCTGTATCACCCCACATGATGATGTCATCAATGTATTGCAGGTGTTCTGGAGCTTGCCCCTGTTCTAGTGCTGTCTGGATGCAGTCTACCATGGCACATGTTAGGGCTATGTTTCCACCCCGGGGCAGTCGGTTCCAAGTGTACTGGACACCCCTCCAAGTAAAAGCAAACTGTGGCCTGCATTCCGCTGCCAAAGGAATTGAGAAAAATGCATTGGCAATATCAGTTGTGACATACCACTTGGCTGCCTTTGACTCCTGCTCATATTGAAGTTCTAGCATGTCCAGTACGGCAGTACTCAACGGTGGTGTGACTTCATTCAGGCCACAGTAGTCTACTGTTGGTCTCCACTCTCTGTTAGACTTTTAAATGGATCCTACTGATCAGTTCTTGGCTCTCCAGTCTATGAATCAGCTTATGGATGGGAATCGGGGAGTCTTGGTTTGCCGTGGTTGCACTATTGTGGTTGCAATTGGCACTTGTTTTTTTACCTTCAGCAGTCCCACGACAGAAGGATCCTTTGAGAGACCAGGCAAGGTGGACAGCTGCTTAATTTCCTTTGTCTCCAAGGCAGTTATACCAAAAGGCCATTGGTACCCCTGTGGGTCTTTGAAATACTCTCTCTGGAGTCTATGCTAGGGGTGTATGGAACATTTGCAGCAGTCACAATAGGGTGCTATTGCCGCTTTCTCCCAGTCAGGCTGATTTCAGCCTCTAATACTGTCAACTCTTGGGATCCTCCTGTCACTCCAGAAATACAAATTGGTTTCACCCCTTGATAGTTTGATGGTGTCAGGGTACACTCTGCACAGGTTTCTACTAGAGCTTTGTACTCCTGTGGGACTGATGTGCCAGGCCATCTGATCCACACAGTCCAGTAAACCTGATTGTCCCTCTCTTCCACCTGGCTGAAGGCAGTGTCTCTAATAGTGATCATAAGATTGTCCACTTAAGTCTTGTAGAAAGGGATTAGTATTCTTTATCACAGGGTTTGGAGTAAAATCAGCTCTTCCAATCTCTTTGGGAAGCTGCTCACCTGAGACTGGAGCAGCAACTTTCGTGGGAGGATCATCCTTGACCATTCTCCAATTCATGCACCCATTTGTCCAGAGCTGAGGTAGATTTTCCATCCAGCTATCTCCTGTCTTCTCCATGATCCTGCAGGTAAAACCATAGGGTGCCCAATGGCATGTATCTCCTCTCTCTTCATTCTTGGGCACTAGGGTGCTTTCTATTAATAGCTGAGACACAGGTTGGTACACATGGGGAGCTGGATAGATCGGATAGGTCGTTCCTCAGTTGTTTGAACTTCTGGGACAGTTTTCCCACAGCTGAAATGATTGAAGGGCTGTGATTGTCTTCGAACTCTTGGAGTTGACCAGTCACTTCACTGTTGGTGGTACTTCTTCATTCCAGGTCATTAATGTCAATGAGTGGGCATATGATGGTGGTGCACTCTGTGTAAGTTGTGATGCTGGATAGTGTCGAGCAGGGCTCCATAGGCATAGGCCAAGCCCCAGCACGTTGCAGCAAGTTATCCCTCTCTGGTATTGCAGAATGACAGCACACCTTGTTTAAATGTTCTGCTAATTTTTCCAGATTCTTCACTTATTAGAATCATGGAATAGTTAGGGTTGGAAAGGACCTTAAGATCATCAAGTTCCAACCCCCCTGCCATGGGCAGGGACACCTTGCTCAGGGGTGAAGTTCCAAAGCACTGGAGGGGTCCACTGGCCCAAGTACTTGCCCATATGATTGTACACACCTTGTCACTCGTGACAGTTCCGCCTTTAGGAAAATCTCTTGGTGGTCCTATATCGTTATCTAACCCTAGGCTAGACCTGAACCTTGACCCTGCTTAATTATTGAGATCAGATAAAATAGGGCATTCTCAGGGTGGGATGGCCGTGGGTAAAATGCTGTATATGTAGCAACATGCTGATTCCCAGCACAAGCAGCAGGCAGGTCTCAGGGGTATTCAGAGGCCATCCAAAACCTTTAGAATTCTCAAATGCTGCTGTAAACAGCACACTGGGGGAGCGGGGGGTGTAAGCGAATGTCTCCTTCATAGTTTGACCCCCTGAAGAGTTAAAAAAAAAAGATGTGTAATTTCTATAAAACTCCATTAAATGTCTCCCAAAATATAGAGGTGATGACCACACTGGGAACGCAAACCAGATCAGCTTCGTGATCAATGAGTCTACTGTATTACAAGTCATTATGATGAAGTACAGTGAAACAATAACCTTAGCCCAGGCCCCCCATCCGATAAACACTGAAACAGCAATTACTGGCTGTAAGGAATGACATGCTGAAATTCGAAGACCGAGAACAATGACTCTGAGAACAAATCAATCAACATTGTGATGAGTGACTATTAATCTGAAACACTGAATGCTTATCACACATATGATTAGATACACTCTGGTCAGATCTATCGTTATCTCAACCCTTCATGCTCCACATTGGTCGCCACAAAGTACTTTGTGGTTTAAGCCCAGCCAATAACTCAGAACCAGACAGCCGCTCCCTCAGTCCTCCCCTTCTTCCCGCTGTTCCCAGAGCAACAGGTTAGAATTGAGAGAACGTAACTGCCATGGGTTGAGATAAGAACAGTCCAGTAACTAAGGTATAATACAAAACTACTACTACCACCACCAATAGTAATAATAAGGGAAATTAACAAGGGGAGAAAATACAATTGCTCACCACCCCCTGACTGATACCCAGGATGACCTGAGCAGGGATCCAGCCCTTCTGGGTAACTCCAATCCATTTATATACTAGGCATGACGTGCTGTGGTATGGAATACCCCTTTGGCCATTTTGGGTCAGGTGCCCTCTCTCTGCTTCCTCCTGGCTTACCTTCCTCCCTGTCAGAGCATGAGGCTGAGAAAGTCCTTGGTCGGAGTAAAAATTACTTAGCAAGAATAAAAAACATTGGTGTGTTATCTGTACTGTTCCCAGACTCAAGTCAGAAGCACAGCACTGCACCAACTACTAAGGAGCAAAATGACTGCTACTGCTGATCCCAGGACAGCAGTTTATCCGATATGTTCAGGGGCATCATAATGACATTTGGTCCCTTAATAATTGCTAGCATGTCTGGCCTGTTTTCTTATGAAGCCTGCTTTCTAAAGACGGGTGGAAGACTGTTTAGAATAGCTTCTGCAGACTAATCACTGGGAGAGTGGGGGTATATAGTAGCAGAGGTAGGCCTGTGAGTCTGTATACTCATAGAGCTGGCATAGAGATTTTAGGGAAAGAATCAAGAGACTAAAGCACAAAGGAAAATTGTGCCTGGACTTGAGGAAGTACAGACTTATAACTGAAGAAGTAGGTTGTGGGCCATTGAATAATTATTGATTGGATGTCAGTAGAAACTGTAGTGAACTTAAAGTGAAAAGAAGTTTTTTTACATGTTTGTTTGTGAATGCTAGAGAGTGAAATAGTCTGCAAAATGTTACTTATAGTATATACTTGTCCTGGTTTTGGCTGGGATAGAGTTAATTTTCTTTCTAGTAGCTGGTACAGTGCTGTGTTTTGGCTTTAGTCTGAGAATAAGGCTGATAACTAAAACATCAGTGTATTGCTAAGTAGCACTTACTCTGATCAAGGACTTTTAAATCTCTCATGCTCTGTCAGTGAGGAGTGGCACAAGAAGCTGTGAGGGAGCACAGCCAGGACAGCTGACCCAAACTAACCAAAGGGATATTCCATATCACAGCATGTCATGCTTGGTATAGAAACTGGGGGGAGTTGGCTGTGAGCCACCAATTGCTACTTGCTGGTGGGCTGGGTATTGGTGGGTGGTAGGCAGTTGTACTGTGCATCACTTGTTTTTTCTCTGGTTTTGTTCCCTTCTCTTTTCATTACTATTATTTTACTTCAATTAAAAACTGTTCTAATCTCTGTCTGCTGGTTTTTATTGTTTTGTCAATTCTCTTTCCTGTCCCGCAGTGGAATGAGCAGGTGGCTGTATGATTCTTAGTTGTCAGCCTGGGTTACACCATGATGGTGTTATTCACAGTGCTTTAAGGCATGGGAGACCCCCCACCCCAAAATATGGTACTTTAAAAGTGCATAAAAGTTCAGTCCACGGAAGTATGGCTTTTAGGAGCCAACAGGAATGCAAGATACTTTCTACATTTCTTGTGTGCTTCCTTCTGTCAAGGCCAGAGCTTTATTTCACTTCCTGTGTTTAGTCTAACACTTGTGAAGTGTTAGACTATGTGAAGTGTTAGACACTTATGCTGCACTTGTTTTCTTTGCAAGTTTAACTTGTCCAGAGATCAGTTTAATTTAAGACCTTAGCTTTAGTGTTCCAAATGAGTAGTTTACCTTTGTAACAGAGGTGGTTGTTATATTTGATGTAGCTTAAGCATTAATAGTTGTGACATAGACTTTGTGTATGAAACCATCCTTGACAGTAATTATGCAAGATCCTGCACTACAGTTCTCTTTTTGTCCTAAGTTGTTTTTTTGTGGTTTTTTTTTTTTAATGCATTTCAGGTATTTCTCTAAATCCAGAACAGTGGAACCAGCTGAAGGAGCAAATTTCTGATATTGATGATGCAGTAAGAAAACTGTAAATACAGAGCCATATAGAAACCTTTATGATTTCAGTTAAGTGGTCTTTTAAAATTAACTTTTGTTTTCTAAAGTACAGATTCACAAGTTATTGTATATTTGGATTGCAAAATAATTTGTAAGAAAGATACTTTTTAAGTGCATTAACAGTGTATTCTGAGTGAGACTATATGTGTTGCTTTTACCTCATGGTATAAAATAAATGAAATATGTAAAGCATAGGTGTTTATGGCCTGTTGATTGAAGGTGTTTGCTGATAAGGCTACCTAATAGCTTTAGTCTTTAGTTTCAGTTTAGTTAACTGTTAATATGAATTTGTTTTCTGCAACGTTTTAATGTATCAACTTTTTTTTCCTCTTAAAAAAAAAAAAAGAAAAAGTAATTTATACTTGTAGATTTTGTCCTGGCAGTCTTCTGCTTTAAGACTTGATACAAACAGTGAATACCTGGTAAAACACATTTTTTTAGACAATTTTAAGTACTGCATTTGCTAATTTACTGTATTTATTCAGATGTAAACAGTCCTGAGTATACAGACTTTTTTTTGTTACTTGCATAAAGTGTTATACTTGAATACAAGCCACATTCTTTCCATTTTACTATAGTTTGCTTTAGAAAATACGGTTAGCCTTTATTCTTGGATCCTAGATTTAAAATGTGATGCATAAACTTCTACAATAATAGATATATACCTTGGAGTAAGATAGTATTCAAAAGCTCTGGATGGGATTATTAGTTAGGTACCCTTCTCAAGCTTTGCATTAAATTCATTCTTGAATGCATACTGACTAGTTAGTCTGTAGAAAAGAGCAGTTAATCTGTCTTTGTAGGGCTTTTGTTCATTTGAGTATTGTTTAAACAGTGACACTTAAACTATGCTGTAACACATGTTAAATGGGGTTAAAATCACTTCAGCCAAAAAGTCTGGCTTTCGTGCTTCTGCCCTGTCTGTGCTGCCTGCCTAAGCCATTTAACTTAGTTTTCTTTGTGTGACTTACATGTGCACACCTGGTTTATCTTTTGTACAGAAGATACTTAGTGCTTACAATGGAGTTGATTTGGAGAAAACTCCAGGAACTTGCCAACAAAGTTTTAAGTTGACAAGCAGGTATTCTTTATTGTGGCGCCGGGAGACACGGGGGATAGCTCCTCCAAGCGTGTCTCTGACAGGCATCAACCAGGCTGTGATTATATTGTCCTTAAACATACATATTCATTAGATTACATACATTACATCATACTTCTTAGACAATGCCTCCTGTATGCATACAAAAATGTGGTTAGTGGGCTTTTGGACTCCCAGTGGTTATTTCTTCAGCACTTTGTTTTAGGATCATTGTTATATCAGTAACCACCAGGTGGTTCTGGCAAAGCAGCTTTCCTTTTCTCTATAGTTGCTACCAAAGCCCAAAGTTCTTAAGGTTACTTATTTACAACCCTATTCTTCAATCCACCCCATTCTTCAATCCACCTTATTCTTAAGTCAACCCCACTCTTCAGTACCCCCTTTTTCTCGTTCCATTGCAAATTCTTTTGCATCTGAGTTATTTTTATTTAAAGTTTCCTGAAGTATTTCCCTGTTTCTATTTGATGCTTAATTTTGTTTCTCTTCCATTTGTCAGAGTTCATCATGGTTTGTTTGCAACACCAAAAGGAGCATTGGACCGTTATGCATGTAATTACAACCATTCCTATTTTTACAAATACAGTAAAAGCCAACTGTCTCAACCAGGAGAGACTGGGGACCCATGATGTTAATTTTTCTCAAATTTCCTCAAATCCCCATGAGGTGTTGTCCTGTGCCACCTCATGAAATATTTTAACTTGTATCCACATTTCCTTTAGATCAGTCGTAATTCTTCCACTTTGATCTATATAGCAGTAACAGCTATCATTGATTACAGAACAAATTCCTCCTTGGGATGCTAACAGTGTATCTAAAGCCACTCGATTTTGGAGCACTACTTTAGACAGGCTGGTTATTTCTTCTTGTAATGCTAGAATAGCATCAGCAGTTCGATTTCCCATTTCCTCAATTGCAGCTGAGATATTTACATTTCCCAGCTGCAATATGCATAATTTCCTACTGTCGTGTTGCCTTGACTAAGAGTTTTGTTAGTGGTTACACATTTAACTTCTGACATATTTGAGGCTGATTCGGAGAAAACTCCAGGAACAAACTTGCCAACAAGTTTTCAAGCTGACAAGCAGGTATTCTTTATTGCGGCACCAGGAGACCATTAATTAATAACCATTCAGACCTAGAAAATTTGACAATTCCACTGTCCACTTGATACATTCTTCCTTTGTTTCTGTAGCAATTAACAGGTCATCCACATATTGTAACAGAGTCCCGTTTGAGTAGGTGGCTTCCATGATTTTAGTTTTCATGCTAGCTGATTTCCAAAAATTGCTGGACTGTTTTTTTTTTTTAACCCTTTAGGTAATACTGTCCAAGTTAATTGAGTTTCCCTTCCTCTGTCAGGATTTTCCCATTTGAAAGCCAATAATTGTGGCTTTCTTTGGCCAATGGTAAGCAAAAGAAAGTGTCCTTTAAATCCAAGACAGCAAACCATTTTTGATTATTATTCAATTTAGTCAATCAGTCATACGAATTAACTACTACTGGACGAATACCCTGTGCAATTTTGTTGATTTCCCTGAGATCGTGAACCAATCTGCAACTTTTCTCATCATATTTCTTTACTGTCCAGATAGGAGTATTATATTCCAATTCACATTCAATTAATAATCTATATTTTAAAATTTATCAATTTTTTTTTTATTCCCTTTGATCTTCTAATTCTAAGGGATACTGTTTTATTCTAATTGGGTAGGGCCCCCCCTTTTTATTTCCACTTTAACAGGCAAAGCATTTTTCTCCTTACCTGGAACTTCAGATGCCCATACTCCCACATATACCTGATTAAGGATTTCTTCTATTTCAGGGAGGTCCTCCTTTTTGTTTTTTTTTGAATTAAACTCAAAACTGCAATTAATTGTTTTTAACTCTGAATTCCATTTTGCCTTCTTTAAATGTTGCTTCTCGCCCTAACAAAGATTTTAGAGAATTTGGCATGCATAAAAATTTATGCATTCCTATTTGTTTTCCCAATTTGTACTTTAAAGGTTTCAGAAAGAATGAATTTTTTTTTTTTTTTTCTTGGTGGCCAGTAGCTCCCACATCTGTAACGAATTCTTTTCTCTCTGATTTAACACCAAATAAGTTGCTCCTGTATCCACTAAAATTCCACTTTTTTCCTCTAGTCCCTAGTTTTAATGTAACCAGTGTATCCGCTAGGGTAGATTCCCCAGGTCCCCGTCAGTTTAGTTCCAGTTCAGTCACCGGAGCCACTCCATGGCACTGCCCCCCCCCCCCCCAGGCAGTCTCACTTCCAGCGTCCAAAACCCCCCATAGCACGCACACCGGTCCGGTCCCACAGAAGAGAAGAGCCCACTCCCCCACCTACACCCGACATGGAATAGTTAGGGTTGGAAAGGACCTTAAGATAATCAAGTTCCAACCCTCTTGCCATGGGCAGGGACACCTCGCCCTAAACCATATTACCCAAGGCCTCGTCTAACCTAGCCTTGAACCCTGCCAGGGATGAAGTATTCACAACCTCCCTGGACAACCTATTTCAGTGCCTCACTACCCTAACAGGAAAGAATTTCCTCCTTATATCCAATCTAAACTTACCCTGTTTACGTTTAAACCCATTACCCCTTGTCCTAACACTACAGTCCCTAATGAAGAGTCCCTCCTGAGCATCCCTATATGCCCCCTTCAGATACTGGAAGGCTGTTATGAGGTCTCCACGCAGCCTTCTCTTCTCCAGGCTGAACAGCCACACGCTCAAACACTGGAGCTGCTCGAGCTCCCCTCCTTTCCCCCTTGGTTTTCCCTTTTTTTTTTATCTTTTTCTCACAGCGGCTCCCCCTGCTCTGCAGGGCCTGCAGATGCCTGCCTCTGCAACAGCGCTTATGGTTTAACCCCTTCTTAACTCTGAATGTGGATGTGCCGCTTGTTGCCAGTGACAGAAATCTCTTCCTCCTTATCAATATCAGATAGGACAGAGGCAGAGGGTGCTCCTCTCGGAGGTACCTGTGGTACGTGATTTTCCACCCTGTCTTCCTGATTGCTGTTTTTTAACTTTAAACATCTTTCCCCAATATCACAGGCTGAGCATCTCCAGCTTAACTTTCAGTTTTTCCCTGTCCTTTTCCAAAGCCAAAATTAAGGAATCTGGCAGAGTTATATTAATTTTGCATTCAATCTGTCACTCTGTGTGATTTCTTAAAGTGAAAAACATATCTGCATACATTGCTTCATCCCATTTTCCTTGCCCCCTTAAAACAACATTAACTGTAACACTGTATTATAGTTCATAGTTCCATTTTTAGGCCATTTTTCCTGATCTTCCAAAGTATACAAAGGCCACCATTGGTTACAATATTTTACCAATATTTTCTTATTTACCAAGCCCCCAGGAGACCCTCCAAGTTCTTTCCAGTGTGCCAAAATGCACCCAAAAGGATTCTTTTTCAAGATCTCTTCACTCTGCTGATTTTCCATTATCAATCTCACATTCACACACACACACACAGATGGGATCCCCAGACATATTCCACACAGTTACAACACTTGAGACAAAGAGACTTAAATTCAACCAACCAAACAAAAGTTAATAAGACAGTTATAACATCCTGTCACCAGTACCAAAATCACAAGACCAAAATCATTATTGTAACAAGCCACAAAATAAGGCGAATACCAGTAGAATCAAAAGCAATACTTCCTAACCCCTATGGCTCAGACCATATTGTAACATTAATAGGGGGGGTTTCCTTGAACCCTTTATAGTTGACCAGCCTGTCAGTGTCCCAGGAAGGATGGGGCCCTTGTGTCTGACCAGCCTCTCTGCGTCCCACTGTCGGAACCATACTGAACAGCCCACTGTATCGGAGGGCTATTCAGGGACCCACGCTGACAGCATCACTGAATCAAATCCCTTATGGGC